CAACCAATCATAATTTTGATTGTATATGTTTTAGTTTTGTTTATATAAAATTTCTCATGGCATAAAAAGATCGTAGTTAAAAGCTTCCGCAATAAAAGTTTTGTGATCTTATATTAAAAAGAGATCATGGAGACCGTGACCATCGGTGAATCAGACAAAGTTGATTCTAATGATGATGAAAGACGAGTTGACGAGGTCTTTGTGTTACTAATTTGTTATTTTTGGATTGGTTGTTTTCTTTATTATATTATATGTTTTTTTTAAAGCAATCATGGATTTGTTTGGGCGACCGTTTCCACTTTGTTTCACGGTTACTTTTTGGTTTTAGTTTTTATATTTTTCTAGACAAAAGTAATTAAAAGTTTGATGATTTTGTTTTGGCACAAAAATAAATAGAGAGGTTTCTTTTAAAATTATTTTTCACGGTTTCTTACTTCGACTTTCTGAGTTCTGAATTTTCTCAATATTTTGGTTTCTTTTATTACTAGGGAGTTTTTTTATGAAATTTATTTCTACGGGAGAGCTCATGTTTTCAAGTTATTTTTTAGTCAGAAATATGGACTGTCAAAGAGAAGGACAATTATTTATGAAAATGCAAGTTGCACCCACGTGATGTTTTTCACCTTTGATAGAAATTGAAGACGAGCTAAAGTTTCATCCCTCTTTTTCAAGATTGAAGTCTATTTAGGTTTATCGAATCATAAGGTGTTCTATCAATGGTGGTCACTTTTAAAAGTTCACCTCAGATACAATTTCTAACTGTCACTATTGCTGAACTCTATTGATTTCTAGAGCATTCCATAATAATTAACAGTGAGATCAAACCATGGAAATTCAATCTTCATTTGTTTTTGTAATATTGGAATTTAACTATTCATTTTCCATTATATTATTTGACGATCATATGTTTGTTTGTGTGTATGGACATCAAAACATAACATATAAAGCTAAAGATGATCTCAGTCAATTTATATCTAAGGAAGATATTGAGAAGACAATGTTTATAGCGTGGATGAAAAAAAACATAGAATCTCAAGAGACCCGCCAGCTAAGTTATTTGGAATTTTCAAAAAGATTTATCTGGAACAACGAAAATAAAGTTTAAATCGAACGAAAGCGGGAGAAAATGATAGGAAAAATAGTCAATACCTATCCATCAGCAAGAGAGTTAAACAATTAAGAATATTAATCAACAAACTACAAGGAGCAAGAAGTTTTGATGAAATCCTAACAGTTGGGGGTAAAAAAATCCAGTCTAACA